TCACAGACCGTGACAGAGAATCCGGGTACCCATCACAGACCGTGACACAGAAATTGTAGTTATACAGCATCAGATATACGGTCAGCTACAAATGTGTCGTAAGGAAATGCAACAAAAGGATTTCCATTTTATTAGTAACAATAGGTCCATCGTGTTTCACATTTTTAATCCCGCAAGGGATTGCGCTAACAGCTTTTTCAATAGAATTAAGTAATTATTTTTAAGTTTATACCTGCATCTTAATTGAATATAAACCTTCTACTATTCCATGGTCCGCTTGAACACGTACACCATTTTTTATATAATCCATCAATATGGAATTGGTCTTGTCTTTTATTAAAAATATGCTTTCGTGTGTATACTATAAATACAAACAATCAGCATATTTGTATAAAAAATTTTGAGAAAACTTACGTTGTAAACAAGATCAACAACTCGAAAATGTTCTTTAATCATCAGATAATGAAAAAAGATAATTAATTCATCACCTTTACAGGTAAAATAAGGTCGATAAAATGTTGATATCCATTCCATCAGAGGATATTTGTCCATTATTATATAATAGATAAAATCAGCAATATTAAAATATCTGATTGATATTGTCTCTTTTTCTAAAAATACAAATTTTTTGCACTGATTTGTTTTACTAAATAAACATAAACAGGCAAGTTTAATCATAAAAAAAACAACAAAACACATTTTTAAATAAAATCTATCACGAACAAATCTTTTTTTCTTACTTCATACGGATATAAAGAAAATTTCATTTTCTTTTAAGTAAGAAGGAATTATTTTGATTGATTATCCCTAGTTTAAAATCTTTAAGAGAAAAAAAAATACATACAGAAAATAAAAATGAATAAATTTTATGGTTTACATTAGTATCTAGAACTAGAACAAATAAATGGAATTTTATTAGTGAAAAAAACAATGAAAAATAAACCAAATCCTCCACGTCGTTTTTAAAAAAATATGAGTAAGAGCAATTACTTATGAATCAAAACAATAGAGAACATATTAATTATCTAAATTAAAATTTTAAAAAAGTTATCGATTATTAATGGAGACATCTGTTGATAAAATGATATGTAATAGAGGGAAACAACGAAATGTTTATTATAGAATCATGACGTCATTTTCTTTCGTTTTGAATCATCAATAGATAGATTATATACATTCATTTATATGTTTATACAGATTAATATTCAAAAGTAAATTTTTAATTCATAAGTTCTAATAAAGTACTATCGATGAGAAAATGTTGTAGGATGATGTAAGGGAAGTTAGCGAAGTATTCGAGTTTTTTCTAGATTGATTCGCACAATCAACTGTGCCAACTACGGAATATTGTGTGCCAGATAGAGTTCAATGAGCTCTATCGAATGGTATATTTACTTCTAAAAACAAAATCCACAACAAAGAAAAAACCATAAAATATAATTTTTCATCATGCCCAGTCAAACAAAAATTTCGAAAAACGCGTTTAAACGCACAATCGAGAACCGCGACTGTGATCCATTCACGCTCATTAAAAAAACGCACGAAAACGTGTTTATTGGCGTTTTTTGTAACTTTCTGGGCGTCAAAACGGCGGAAATTCCAGTTTTTGAGCGTTAAAACGCACTATTATTCTAGAACTTAAAAACAATACGTTTTAACGCTCAAAAACTAGAATTTTCGTCGTTTTGACGCCCAGAAAATTACAAAAAACGCCAATAAACGCGTTTTCGTGCGTTTTTTTAATGAGCGTGAACGGATCACAGTCGCGGTTCCCGATTGTGCGTTTAAACGCGTTTTTCGGAATTTTTGTCTGACTGGGTGGGGGAAAAAATGCAAAATAGATATTTTCCAGAAATATTCGATTCACGATTTGTGCCACTTTTCAAATTTGAATCAATCGATGTAATTCAACAAGCTCTATCTAATGGTGTATAATAAGCCCTGATAAATTGAATC